GAAAACACAGATATAGATCATGGAGGAATTCATCTTCGGTGAGCAAATTTAAAAATATCCAATTCTTTCCCTAATATTTTTCATAAATAAGGTGGTAGTCTCTCACATGAAAGTATGTTTAATCAAGTTGTGGGAAGTTATATTTTCTCTTCCAAAATAAAGAAATGGTGTTCTCTCCAAATTCCAACAGCGGACCTTGTTTGATTTCCTGGAAATCTGTGTTCCATGTCTAGACTCATTCTCAACCATTCATTGAAGTTGTGAACAGAGCTGATGGCAGCAAGAAAGGAAAGAGGCCGGACAGATAAATCTCTATCCTGAATACAGAGCAAGATTTCAATTGTGAAGATTTCAACGGATAGGATTTGTGTGTGTGTGTGTGTGTGTGTGTGTGTGTGTGTGTGCATTTTCCTCTGAGAGTAAAATTCAAAGTTGAGACAATAACAATTTTTAATATTATGGTCGACACATTATGGAATGAGAAAGAGTGGCTTTTGCAAGACTAAAAAGGGAGCAAGATTTGGAAGAAGAAAAGCTTGATGGGGACTTCAGCAGGCTAACTTACATCTGAGCCAGGACAGCTGACTCCATGGGCACCTTCATCAAGCAAAGCTACATCAAAAAGAATATCTTATCAATTCATCTGTCCTAAAACAATTAAGCTGATTATACAATGGTGGTAGAAAATAGAACATCAGGATAGGTGGGTCTGGAGTAGAATGGCTGAGAGCATGCATGAGAAGAAAAGGAAAAGAAAAAGAAGCCAAAGAATAATGACAACTATTTTTTCACACGATTACCACAATTATTACTCATTCTGGACTCTTTCACTGGAACTCTCCATCAGCTAAGGCATTTTAATTTTAGCTCTGAAGATAACAGTAGAAATTATTGTGTATCACATCAAACAGGAAAGGCCAGCCTCATTCAGGCACACTTGATTTTCTGCAAACACAAAAGCACACCCAGATGCAAGACTGATGTGCAAAGTGGCATTTTGACAACTAGAGAGAATTTTTAAATTCCTTCCTCTTCTTTCTCATTTGTCTGCTGATTCTACAACAGGTTGGCCTGGGTCAATGTAGCAGGAAACATCCAGCAGAATCTCTGTGCCTCACGTCCTACCCGTGTGGATGTGTCCAGCCCAAATAGCAGAGCTTTCTCTCCAGCCCAAAGTATTTCTCACTGTGATCGGTGAGAGTGCTTTACCGGATTTTGTTCATGCCATTCTATAAGGGCACATTTGCGAAAAAACTTACACAACCAAAGATAAAGGAAACCATGAACCAAAGAAACAGGGCATTTGATGCCTATCATAACATTTATAGTTTTGCTTCGTTTTCTTTTAAGCTTTAAAAAAAATCAAACAGTTCAGTCTGCTGAAATGAGACTTTTAACCTTTGCATCTTTCTTTCTTTCTTTTTGTACCAGGGATCACTGAACTAAATCCCTGGCCCTGCATATTTCTAAATTAGCTTTGCTATAATGAATATTTATATGTCCTTTCTTATTAGACCGGACACAGTGCTTTTCTTCTCTAGAATAAAGAGTAATCAGAAACAATTTTTTTTTATTTTGGTTTTTGAGACAGGGTCTTACTATGTAGCCTAGGCTGGTTTCAAACTCATGACAATTCTCCTGCCTCATCCTCCCGAGTGCTGGGATCACAGAAGTGTACCACCATGCTCATCCTACAAATAACTCTTTAGCACAGGGCCAGTGTCCTCTGAGCATTCCTGACCTGAGAATATGTTTCATCAAATACTAAGGGCACCATGAAAGAGAAGTGATTCCTTTAATCAAAAAACTGAATTTTAGCTTTTCTACTCTTAGAGGCTTTATTTTTCATTTGTCTGTGGAGCCAACACAAATAAGAAAAGAAAACCTTAGTTCTTTCTTCCATAAAGATATGAAGTTGTTCAGTAAGGCAAATGTAGATGATTATTTGTTTGTTTGTTTGTTTGTTTTGAACATGTAGTTCAGGCTGGCCTTGAACTCAGGACAATCCTCCTGCCTCAGCCTCCCGAGTGCTGGGATTACAGGCGTGTGCCACGACCCCCAGCTCAAAAGATGTTTTCTAAATTACAGAGATTTTGTAGAGACTCAGAATCATCCTAACATTATTTATTTTTTCTTGTTGATTGTTGTATGGTACACAGGCCATACACTAGGTAGAAAGTCCATGAGATCAGAGACGACGTCCTTGCTCACGCTGCTCCATACCTGTATCAGTATCAACACAAAGGAGTTGTTCTAACACTTCATTCAAGAAACACAACGTCTATACTCTGTGCTAGCATAGTGAACACAGAGCATGTTCGAATGATGTTCCACCCACCCTTTTCTCCAAATGTGGTTAATCATTCCTGGATCAAATAAATGTTGAAGACCTGCAAACTTGGGCCACACTGTTCTAATTCAATGTACACCATACCCTTCACTCCCTCTCACCCGCCTTCGGAACACTCAACATTTCCTAAATCAACTCGTGGTGTTCTCAATTTTATTTTTATTAATTTACACATAGAATTTGCTTTTGAATACATTTTTAGGAAGACTGAGGGCGTTAAACATTACATAACCTGTTATTGGCTTTTTAAAAATCAGGGTATGTGGGAGAGATTTCTTTTAAAGCTCTTTCCAAAAAGAAATATCTTAAACTCTGTCAAGTAATTGAGTTTTTTTAAATCTCATGTTTCCCTCTTTGCTGCCTTCCAGGAAGCTCAGAGGATGCCTGGCCCGTGTTGCATGCATTTCTATAAACTTCTCAGACTATCATTTAAACCTTATTTCCTGTTTGATTTCTTTACCTTTTCATAGCTTTATTACAAAGATCATACCATATTTATGAATATAAATAGCATAGAAGCTGAGAGAAACAAGACAGTATATGATTAGATTATGAGTATTTTTACATTTTCACATTATTTATTAATTAATAAAATGGTAATTATTAGTGATAATATAGGAGACAGTTGAGGCCTGAAGATTTAAATAACACTGAAGAAGACCAGATTGAGAGGACTTTCTAGAGGTATGAAAAAAACTCTCAAGCTTTTTCTGTCACTATTTCGCATTCTTTCCCTCTGCTTTAATGATGGTAGAAGAGAGTAAAACCAAACCCAAATCATTTGATTATTATGGTGCAAGTCGCACAATACAATTATCTAGTTAGAACTTGTTTCTTTTTCCAAGATGGACAGTGATAGAGGCACAGTGAGCATCCTTTCGTGCCTGACATTAGTGAACAGCAGCAAAAGTCCAGGAAACAAACTGAGGCAGTATTATTTCCTGAGATCTCTGCTAAATATGCTGTCCTGAATTCATGCCTAACATCTCTTAGACTTGTCCAATGGGGATAAATTGCAGGGACGTTTGTAAGTAAATGGATGCAACTTGAAAAAATAATGTTAAGTGAAATAAGTCAAACACACAAGCTCAAATATTATTCCATGGTTTCTCCTATATGAACAACATAAAGAACAAAAGAGTAGAGAAATAAATAGGAAACAGAGAAATCCAAACACTTTCCCAAGGTACAAGTTCTGATGTTTTAAAAGTATTTCAATATATATGTTAATTGGTTTCATTCATACTGCTAGCTTATCTTACTTCATTGACAAGAAAGATTTGTGTCATAATTTCTTTCTTTTTTTGTAAGTATCTTTTTGGATTATTTCTTGTACCAATACTCTGAGTAATTACTTTGAAGATAATGATACACAGGGTAATAGCTATTATTATTATTGTCATTCTGTTACTACTTGACTGAAATTTTGTCTTATCTGGTCATAAAATTAAGATGTTTTAAATTGTACTCTTAGAATTTCTCAGCCTCCTTCTTTTGTCAGTGACACTCAACACAAGTTTTACAGCTCTGATTCCAGGTAAAATTTCATACAACCATCTCTTTCTTTTAAATGTAATTTTAAATGAAGTTTATTCTAAACAGGCTTATATACAGTCTTTACTCCTTGAGAAATATCTGTGAAGGAAAAGCGCAGATTCATAACAGTAGGTGCAAAATGATACTAAAGTATATCTATGGGATTGGAGTGAGGTTTCCCAGCCTTGGCCAAACTGACATTGGGGACAAGATGATTTCTTGTTTTGGGGGGCGGGGGCAGTGCTACCCTGTACATTACAAGATGTTCAGCAGCATCACCGGCTTCTGCTCACAAGAACAGTAGCAGCACCCTTCACCAGTTTAACAACCAGTAAATATCTACCAATGTCTCCAGACCGTGTTCAGTAGTCCCCGGGGCAAAAGCACGGCAGATTGAGAACTACTAGGTAATGCTCTACCTTCTTACAGAAACTACAGCAACTTTATTCATAAACTACTTAGGGGAAGTCTACTAGGTAGATTAAATTAAATAGGATTTGCTCTTCATTACTTAATGTTATGTCATTATTTTCCTAACTCCCTCATTACCACAATGTGCTTTAAAAGCACCATTCCAATATTTAGAAGAAATACCGCACTAGATAGTTACCTCCTTTTCCACATCTTTAGAGTTGTACAATCACACTAGTCTAGCCTCATCATCTTTAGCTAGATACTTCTAGTGTCTAGTTTACATTAAGTGTAAAAGGAAATCAGTTCTTTTCATTTTCTTAGGAAGATTTTGGAAAAGATCATTTTCTATTTCTTCTCCAAACTTTGAATCATTAAGGCTCTGTTTGTATTTGGGCTTTATAAATAGGCAAGTTTCCATAACTTCTATTATAGATCGAATTATTAAGTTATTCTACAGTGTTTTTCACTTATTTTTTTAAAATTTGTTTTTCTAATCCCAAGTTTACTTTTATCTCAGCAACATACTAGTTTATACTATTATAAATCCCTCCAATAAATTGTTTTATGATTGCCACTAATTTTTTTAAAATCTGTGCTTATTTTTTTGGGGGGGTCCTCTGACTCAACACATGAATCTACTGTTCTAAGTCCTTTCCTTAGAAGACTGATAGAGAACAAAAGCCAATGAAAAAACACATACTTGCTCCAATGAACTTTTCCTTCCAGTGTCTGCATCTCACCAAGAATGGCAAGGAGAAGGGAGGATTTCCCACATCCTACCTGACCCACAATCATGGTTAGCTGACCTGGAGAAGAAGACAAAGGGGAACAAGAAGATGAGAAGGAAGTTTTCTAGCAAAATAAAATTAAAACAAATTTAGAAAAGGCTAATGTTTTACAATCAGTGGCCTGGTTTGGCTTCCAGCAATAAACCAATCTAAACAGCTTCTTTCCTTGATGTGCACATCTTTTTGGAAAAAGAAAGAAATATGTGGGTCTTGGTTTACTGTTTGTAAAACTGAGAACTAAAGAGAGTAATTAAATAATTTTATAAATCTAGATTAATTTTTAATTTATTATTCATTTCACTCAGGAGAAAGATAGTTTTGACTAAAATTGATAATTGAAATGAAAGAAATTTGGGTCAAGTCATCAAGACACCCAGTCTAATTTCTCACTTTGATGTGCATATATATAACAGAAAAATCATAACCTACTGACTTTTTCTTTGAGAAAGGGTCTCAATACATAATTTAGCTTGCCTTGAACTCACTATGTAGTCCAGGCTGGGCTTGAACTTGCAACAATTCTCTTGCTTCAGCCTACTGAGTGCTGGAATCACAGGAATGTGCCATCAAGCCAGGTATTGGGTTTATTCCTAAGTAGCTTAATCTTTTAAATATTTAGGAACAAATTTATTTAGGACATAAATATTTAGGAACACATTTAACTAGGGGCTGGAAATTATCTCAGTGGCACTGTACCTGCTTTGCAAGCACAAGGTCTTCAGTTTGATCCCCAGTTAAATAAAAGGGGGGGAATAAATTTAACTAAGGAATAAAAAGAAATACACTAAAAACTAAAACACTGATGAAAGAAATTTAAGAAAACACAAATAAATGTAAAAGGCATCCCATATTCGTGGATTTGAAGAAATAATATTGTTAATGTGTTCCAAAGGAATCTACAGGTTCAATGTAACCTCAATCTATGTTTAAACAACACATTTTACAGAAATTTTTAAAAATTTTAAATTCAAATGGAACCAAAACAGACCCCAAACAGCCAAATCAATTTTTGGAAAGAAGAAATCTGGAGGCATCATACTTCTTAACTCCAAAATATATTACAAAGCTACAGTAATCAAAGCACTGTGGTACTGCCATAAAGGTGCGCGTGCACACACACACACACCCCACAATGGAACAGAATAGAGAGCACAGAAATAAACCCACTGTTATACAGGCAACTGATCTTTGACAAGGCTGTCAGGATCACACAGTGAAGAAAGAGAGTTTCTTGAACAAATGATGTGGGAGAAACTGAGTATCCACATCAAAGAAATGAATTTGGACTGCTATGTTTTCTCACACACAAAATAAACTCAAAATAGATGACAAACTTCATTGTTAGACTTGAAACTATAAAAATCTTCAAAGAAAACATAATGCAAAAAGCTGATATTGAATTTAGCAATGATTTCTGGGATTTAATATCAAAAGTACAGGCAACAAAACAAAAAATAGAGAAACACGACCTCATCAAAATAGAAGCCTTCTGCACATTAAACAAAACAAACAACAGAGGGAAAATGCAACTGGCAGAATAGAAGAAAATATTTGCAAACTGCCTGATAAGAGCATAGGATCAAAAATACATAGAATCTCCTACAACCCAATAGCAAAATAAACCACAAAGAACCCAACTAAAAATGAACAAAGTATGGGAAAAAATAAGAACTAATACCTGGCCTGTAAAGGTACAAGATCCCAGTAATGAATGTAACTGTACTGTCTACCTAGAACGTACCAATAAATTAAATTTAAATTAAAAAAAAAGAACAAAGTAGCCGAATAGCTATTTCTTCAAAGAAGACATAGAAAATTGTCACCAGTTGTATAAAATGGTGTTCAGCAAAGGTAATTATCAGAGAAACACTGATAAAAACCACAATGACAAAGCACCTCACATTTGTTAAGATAGTAATTATTTAAAAAATAACAAATGTTGGCAAGGATATGGATAAACCAAAACGCTGCGTACGCAGAACTGTGCAGTCACTATGGAAGAGTCTGCAGGCTCTTCAGAAAACTTAAAAATAGAACCACTGCATGATCCAGAATCTCATTTCTGAATGTCCATAGAAAACAATTAAAATTACAATCTTAAGGATATATCTGCACTCTCGTGTTCAGTGTAGTATTACACATGGCATCCAAGATACAAGTTAACTTTTTCTATTAACTGATGGGTGAAGAAAGCATGGAATATGGAATACACATATAATGGGATATTATTTATCTTTAAAACAGAAAATTCAACCATTTCCAACAGCATGGGCAGAACTGGACGGCATTGTGCCAAGTGAAATACACCAGTAACAGAAAGACGAATACTGCATACTTCCACTGATGCGAGGTATTGAAAAATAGTCAAATCCATACAGGCAGAAAATAGAATAATAGTTGCCAGTGTGGACAGAACAGAGAAACGAGCAACTGTTGTTCAGTGACAATGAAATTTCAGTTATGTGAGATGAAAAAGTTCTAGACATCTGCTGGTCAACAACTTATCATTACTAATACAGTAGAGTGGACTTTAAGATAATTTAACAGAACAGATTTTAAGTGTACTTCCCAGAAAAAAAAAATGCAGAACACAGAGACATTTTTGGATATTACTATGTATTTATTGTCTTGACTGGGACAATATTATCATGAGCACATATGTACATCTATACTCTTCAAAATGCAAACATTAAATACATGCAATTTCGTAGATCCATTGTCTCTCAATAAAACTTAAAAATAAATACATAAATAGATACACAGATAAAATTATTGGACAGCCAGCCTTTTAAAAATGAAATCTTCATTAACTCTCTTCAGACATAGAGGATAATTTTCTCATGTACTCTTTCTTTAAAGTTTCTCTCAAACAAAATGAGAAATCAATTGACTCCATTGTTTACATGGCCCAAACTCAGTAAGAAAACAACCTGTCCAAAAGTACAGACCCTGGTTTGAAGGACAGGTTTTAATATTATCACAGTGATATATATTTGCTCATTCGCAGAGTGGTGCAAATATATAATAATAACTAATTGGTATCCCTTTTAAAAGTTTTCCTCTTTTAATTAAGCTTGGATATCTTGGAAAACTGTGGTTGTTATAATTAACAATTATAAAAATGCTTAACAAATAATGCTTACCTGTGGGAATTCGGATATCTATATTGGATAGTGTAGCTAAACCACTGCCCCATGAAAAGTATCCATTTGTGACCTAAAAATTAAGAATACAGAAATTAAACTATATATGTGGTACTAGAGAATAATCTCAAATAAAATAAATTTTCTTTTTAAAAGGCTGAAACTTTTAAGACAAGGTAGAACACACAGTCATAAAATTCTTACTTTGAGTTAGAACCTCTAGTGTTAAATAAAAACTAAAAAGGAAGTAAAAGAGAGTCTTTCTGTTAGTGACGTTAAGAAGAATGCTAAAAATCATAGCAATTTTCTTTGACAACTGGGGATTCCTGGATCATTAACATGTGCGATTTTTTAAAAAAGTAATTATCCCAAACATTTTCCAAAGAAGTCTTTACACTGATTTTTTTTCACTAGTAGACAATCCCCAGAAATCTTAGTGATACAAAATGAAGAACAGAAATAACCACAAATTATTACAACAGCAAAATGTTTGTATTAGCTGAGGGAGGGTCTGTAATGACGAGTTTCCTGAATTGTAGAGATTTAGGGCTATTAACTGAATTTCAAGGAAAGAGTAAAGGAGGAGGGAAATGAGGCAGCTCCTCTTGGTGGTATAAATATCAGCAATGACCAGCGATCACAAAGCCCTATACCCACCCCCGACAGGCTACTTGTTTTAGCAGGTTTCAAGTGGGCTTAGTAATTTCACAGTTACAAAAGTGGAAAACAAAAGGAGGCAGATCCAAATCCAAGATTTAGGAGGACAAAGTAGGGTCAGGGAAAAGACAGGGCCTGAGAAAACGGAGGACACTGTAGCTACGCTTCCCTCCTAAGTCAGTATTTTATTTCAAAGCCACACCTGATGAGCTGCTTGAGCCTGTTATTAGTCAGAAATTTCACAAAATGGACTGGTGTCACCTCAATCGTAACTAAACATAGCCCTAGGAAGCTCTGACTGAGCTCATTTAAAAGAGCTACTTTGGGTTTCTCCCTATAGGTTTTCTCCAGCTGGTGAAACTTACGGCATCGATTTAACATATATCACATAGTTTTCCACAAAATTAGTCAGGGAAGGAAAATGGCATGAAAAGGCAAAATTGTTGGTCACTTTACAATTGCTCACTAAGCACTTACACAGGGTGAGGCACTGGGTTTGGACTGGGGTAACCGACACAGAAACTATTCAGCACCATCACTGACATGGTGGAACTTGCAATGACTCAAGTAAATAAACCGCAGAAAAATGTTCTGCATAGTATTTCTATTAATAAAGGGCCGCAGGTGCGAGGGCGGTCCCTTAAGATCACATTGCCTAAGTGGGTTGCAACGCTAAATGTGTAATCCCAGAACTGTGAGCGGCTGAGGCAGGAGTATCACAAATTCAAACTCAACATTGCCAACTTAGCAACTTAACATGAGCCTGTCTCAAAACAAAAATTAAAAAAAAAAAAAAAAAAAA